TCATACGTGCTGAGTTTAACGATTGTTACAAAAAGACAGTCCAGGAACCGGGATATTACGCTGGCCAAGGGCCGTTGTGTCAATACACCAAATCTCCGACGTTACCCCTGAATCAGAGGTAACCGAGCAATATGACGATCATTAAAGTAACAATCCCTTCACACATCCTGCCATGAGATACATTCAGACTCCAGCGATTGCCAAGAGAAGACAGTTAAGCGGTCATTCAGACCAAGGACGCCACTTCGGCCAAAGGCCACCGTGTCAACATCCAAAGCGCTCCGACGTTTCCCCTGGTAGAGGAAACCGAGCGGTAAGTAACATAACTACCTCAACCCAGCAAACGGGCTCCGAAAAACACATAATAACCCCCAGAACCTGGAGGCGTCTCACCTGCGGATATTCAATAACAAGTCGTAAGCCATAAGTTAAATTATGAAGGTAAAAAGTATAACATGTTTATAAACATGGCTTAAGACTTTCATGATCATGAATATAAAAGTACTATGGTTATCAATCCATGCAGTACAGTAAAATAAAGGAAACACTCAGTGATTGCTCATCTTTCAGGTAACCAAAACACTACACCCAATAGCACATGAACACTGTAATCAAGTTCACAAAGCGCACTACTTGGTCTGAGAAGCGATCTCCTCCACGCAATAATTGAACTGTATCGCCGACCACGCCCGTATCTTTAACAAATTTTATCCTGGGAACAAGTACAAGGAATGTGTAATGTAAACAGCCGTAAGGGCTGTCGCGCTGAGTGACACTAAGCAGCATTGTGAACCTTCTGGAAAGGTTTTGTGTGCTACAGAGTTGGACTCGCATGCAAAAAATGTGTTTGAGATATTTCGTAGCTTACATAAATGATCATGTAATATTTTATGTATGCTAGTGGAACTAATGCCTAAGGCTGCCTCAATCTCACAATATGTCACATGGCGATCTTGCATTATTAGTTTTTGCACAGCATCAATGTTTTCTGGTACAACAATTGATTTTGCACGTTCTTCACGACTTTCGTCACCAAGAGAATGGCAGCCACGATTAAATAACTTATACCTTGATAATGTATGTCAGAAGTCGTAATAGATCATCGCACGAAAATTTTCACGATTCAATTCCATTTTTTTCCTGAGACAGTTTTCTAGTCGTATCAACAACATAAATCATGCTGAAATGACAAAACGTTCTGAAGAAGGTTATGTTTAAAAACGTAAAACTTGCAATTGAAAACGTCAGATGGAGCCTAAGCACCCTTGATGTTGCCGAGGCTCAAAATACAGGGTGTTTCACAACTTATCCGACAAATTTTAACCACATATGCACTGTCACGAAAGAAGTTGATTTCTCAAAAAAAATTTAATAAAAGTGCTACAAAAATTAAGTTATAAACATGGGATTCAATAATAAATCGAAAAATAAATATCTGTATTTTGTGTTCATCGCCGTGATATTAGAGAAAATTGTTTGTTTTTACATACTGACAAGAACGTGTAAATAAGGTTTAATCTATATCGTTGGTGATCTGAATGAAGAACGGATGACTTTGTGAAGTTAAATAAGTAAGTATTTTACGAGTTTATGTCTTTAGTTATTTATTTATAAAAATGGCACACATGTACGCTAATGAGGAGTTAGTGGACATGTTTTAGCATACGGGGAAGCAGGGCAAAATTCGCGAGCGGATTCTCGTCTGTTTGCACACCGATTTCTGTATAGGCACATACCACATCACCAAACATTTAGTTCAACTGTTTTACATGCTCCTGCTAGTGCAGATTTGCGCCCCAGACGTGAAGTGGATGGGGGTCGGATTCCCCCACAACGCGTTTTAAATGCCGAAGACGAAATTTTGGATCTTGTGGAAGAAAATCAGGGAATAAGCACAAGGCAGTTAGCCCAACAGGTCCCAGCAGTGTCACATGCAACAGCATGGCGCATATTACATGAGGCCCAACTGTACCTTTATCACGTCCAGAGAGTCCAGTCGTTGCTACCTACAGACTACCCCCTAAGAGTAAGGTTTTGTGAGTGCTTGTTGCAAGAAAATTCTCGAAATGCCCGTTTTACAGCTGATATTTTGGCACCAATGACGCTATTTTTACTCGTAATGGGATAACCGATCTTCACACACGTTTCGTCCTTTGAGAATCCTCACGCAGTGGACCAGGTCCATCGAATCACAGTGGCTGCCGATAATTTGAGCCTTCAGACACGGCAGGAAGGAGGTGCATTTGAATTATTGCGCCGAAATGGGATTAGGCAGCCATTATAAGTAAGTGAACTGTTGAACTGTATTATTTTATTATCTCGATTTCTGTAGGACTTTTATTACATTTTTTTAAGAAATCAACTTCTTTCGTAACAATGCATATGTGGTTAAAATTTGTCGGATAGGTTGTGAAACGCCCTGTATGAATAGTGACCCTCGTACAACCCACAAATATTTACAGAATGATTTTGTTTATGAGCAATGCTCCTTCCTCGCATGGGACACCCTGTATAGTGTTAGTGGTAACGCACTGAATAGGATTCAATGTGGGTTGTTTGTAAGCATTCCATTTTCAGCACGCCCAGCCGCATTATACATTTATGAAGTTTGCCTTGAGCTAGCCATCAAAAGTTCCGCTCTCAATATAATATTGTGAGCATACGAAGCAAATTAAATCGAGCTTATCAGTCAGATCGATCGGTTTACTTTCACGTTTCATTACAGCCTGATGTGTTTTTAATGATATCCAGAAATGTTACGTACGATAAAGCAATAAAATGGAAATGAAAGGGTTGTTTCTTGGTCAAGCTGAGTAAAGTATTCAAAAAAGTTGCTGCTATTTGTATACCTAGGTCAAACAAAGAGTATACGTAATACTAATAGTAGGGTTTCTCAGAGGTCACTCGAGTTTTGCTACTACGTCTGTCATTAACGCTCCGAAGGGGAGGGTAAAGCGGGTAATTAAATAATAAAAAATTAATATTCTTAACAGCTTTGACTACCGCTTAAAAGACCACGATACTTAATGCTTTACGAATAGAAAGGTGTTCTCTGATATGAGAACGTGAAGGCAAGCGACGTACCGCCGACGATACACAGGGTGTCCCAGAAATAACATGCCACAGTGACACGGGAGGTAGATTGGCTTCAGTTCAATCAGATAAAATCAACGTGACCTTAGTAAAAGTTTTCTAGTTTTCGAGATATTGTCACTTTGAGTTTTTTTTTTTAAAAATCCCTACTTTTTGCTACTTTTTGCCGGTTATGGCTATATAGAACTTCTAACTTATGATTTGCTTTTCATGGGCTACCATTAATAGTTGGTTAAGATAACCGGGTATTCATTTCATTGAAAGGTAGCACGGTATGCTATAAAAAACCAAATTATTACATTTGGTTCCAATGCGAAAACGCTTACCAAAGTTTGACTAATTACTGTGAAAAGAATGTAGCAGACTGAATCTGCCTGAAATAAATGATTTTTGATATATCGTTATTATTATTTTCAAAATGTCTACCACCGACTCTTATACACAACCTGCATCTTCCTAAAAAATGTCCTTTTAAACGTCTCAAACTTAAATCGGATATTTCGCGTGCTGCTAGAAGGATTCAGTGACACAGTTTATGGGCCGATCGAACTGGTTTTCCACAGACCTCATCCTTTAAACATCTCCGGTACAAATATCCAGAGGGTTCACTTAATCCAACTTCTAGGGAATATTTCTTCAAGATACCCCCTGACTGCACTAGCATAGTGGGCAGGGCACCCATCAGTCTGTAACCACATCTTTCTTTTTGTCTCAAGAGGCACATCTTCCAAAGGAATGGACAGATGATGTTGCAAGAAATCAAAGTAAAGACAAAACTTGGAATTATACAACTCAGAAAGAACCTACAAAAATGTTATACTATTTTAAAAGAAAGAGCATTAATTAGGCTGGTCTTTAAGATCATTTGCTCATTCAGAATGGTACATTTTTTTCACAGAAATCAGACTTTAGTAAAGGTTCTCACATTGAAACAAAATACCGTGCTAGTTTTCAATGAATATTCGGATGTCTCAACCAACCTCTAATGGTATCCCAGGAGAAAAAATCATAAATTAGACTCTCTTTATAACCATAACAGGCAAAAAAGAAGCAAAAAGTAAGGATTTTTTGAGCTAACTTAAAAGTGGCAATATCTCGAAGACTAGAAAACCTCTACTAAGGTCATGTTAATTTTATCTGATTGAAGCCAGTCTACCTCCCGTGTCACTCTGACGTGTTATTTCTGGGACACACTGTATCTATAGACACTCCGTTCACTCATGATTATACAATTTGCTTGTTTTCTAACATTGCTTGCTGGCCAACAAAACAAAATGGCTGCCAATCACATTTGAACCAGTGACGTATCAAAATGAAAGTATTACTACAGTCACAACAAAATAATGATCGATTATTCAAGCAGTGGAATTTGTGTCAGCCACATATTTTTTGGAGCATTCATTAAGTTAGGTTATGTGTTCTTATATGGAGAGGTTCTGTTTTCAAATGATATGAATTTCTCTGAATAAGAATCTGGCAGGTGAATGAAAGATCGATTTTAGGATCACGCCATCAGATGCAGCATTCATGAAAAATGTGTATTTTCGTCCAAAAAAATGCACCAAAGTAATAAAATAGGTCAACGTTATTTGTATTTTTGTTTTTCATGAGAAACCAAATACGTATTTCTCTTTTAATATGGATAGATACACAGAATTTGTGTATTTTTTTACAAGAACAATACTATAAGTAGTCATTGTTTTAATCTCATGCTTTATTTTGCAATTGCATCTGCACGTCGTATTATGGAGCATGTTCAATTATACAATAATAATTAATAAATTTCATCTGTCGAGAAATACTGGTTTGGATTTCAACCAGTACCCCTATTCTTGAAAAACGGGGAAGAAGAATCACTGAGGGGAAAGTAGCCGTGGTTCTCTTCCCTGGGGAATGTTTTTTCGCACTTACAGGTGAGAAAAAATCACTACTGGAGATATAATCTAAAACTAAAATCAAAATAAGATATTTTAGAATAGTAGTTTGTGGAAGTTAGTGAGTTTTTTCAATTGATTGTTCAATATCGCAATAGTTTGAAATCAAAGCCTCATAGTATGTTGTATCTAATTGCTGTTTTTGAAAGAGCCTATCCTATTTTGCAATAAAACGCATTATATTTTAAAAATGTATGTTTGGACTTTCACATAGCATTGATTAACATATTTCACAAGCATGTAGTTACGAACCACTCTGTACAGACAAAATTATTTTCCAAGTTAGTAGCATGCTGTTGGTTACAATTTATGTATTCACTTTTTTTAGATATCATGTGTAATAACTGAGTGGTCGACCAAGCCCGCACTAACAACTCATCCTGTATATCAGGTAGACAATTACCAGCTTAAAATTTATAAGTTACATGTGAGAAATTGAGCAAAGTAAGAATGCCATGCTTCAAAGCATAGTGTGTGAGTTTGCTGGAATTCCAATCATTGAGGTTGAAAAGCAGTTTTTCGTAAAGGAATTAACCTCTAACGGTTGTTGTAATATTACCTACCGCTTGTTGTGAGATGAAAGGCAGAATGGACACGAAATGGAACGGCATTAAATCTCAGATGCCTAACTCCATCAACGATTCTAACTAAATCATTTTCTTGAAGGTGTTTTGAACAGGCATCAGCATAATTGTCTTTCTTGAACCCCAGAAGTGCGTAAACATATAGATCTGCTTGTGGGTCGACCCCAAAATACCTATTTGGAGAGAAATCATAAATGTATTGAGCGGCAACCCCACGCCACTGGAGTTCCTAACCTCTTAATTTTTAAGTTCACTTACCGATGAAAATATAAGCTTCTATCTAGCCTGCTGACTATATACCTTGCATCATGGTCAACAAAATGATAGTTCTAAAATCAGGCAAATGTAAAACCAGCAATAGTAAGAAACGACCCAATGTTGCCACGCTTCCTGCAAAGTCTTGGGCATAGGTGCATTATACTTGCGATGGTTTACGTTTTTGCTTGAACACTGTTTCAGATTCATAGTAGCCGCTGGAGCATCGAACTTTTAGACGCATATTTATTCTATGTCAGTCTGTGTCAACGATCTACGACAAGACAAGTTTGTTTGGCTTTCCACCCGTCAATGATGGCGACAGCGTAAAATACCATAAATAGAACATTCGAATGCCGGAAATAGAAATTTTGTAAATAGTTATATCTCTGTTTATTGTCCGTTGGTTGTCGTCTGTTGTCAGAAAAAGTAAAAAGAAACCTTCTCCCTTGACAGTTTTCTTTCTATCACGAATAAATAGTCCGACCTACCGTACAAAATACTGGAAGAAACTAATCCATCGAAAACAGAAAAATTAAGATCAAATGCTGGACATGCTGGATCGAGAGTACGACAACCGGATGCAGTTGTAGCTCCTTTCTGACAAACTTAGTAAAGGTCAACCGCAGCCTTCCAGTTGCAATTTTGTTGATATTGCGCTGTTTGCTGGAGCAGGAGTCCAACAATATAAAGTATTGAGGTAGGGAATGATCCCTCATGACTCTTATAAATTCCCTTATTAAATAAATAAATAATTTATTTTCCAATAGATGAAAAATCTAATTATAGACAATATTACCAGAAAACTTAGCAACTTTTCACGCCTTCGGGAACTTACATTCATGACGAATAGCATTATAGATTAAAGCAAGGGGCACAGCTTTTACCCTAGCACAATCTCTAACAACAAAACTACGGATCATATCTTGATCAGCAGTTATTTTGTTTAGTAGCCATTTCAATACTTTGAAAACTTGATCTTTTGAGAGACACTCAACTGAGATACAATCAGATTGATTGACAGATGTAGAACAACGCACAAAAACTAAGAAGAAAAACTGAGCAAACCCATCAACCATATCGTAACCACCGTCTATCTGGTCATCCCGTATTTCCAAACTGTTGGGTACGCGTGAGTTTCCTGTGTTTCTTTGCACAAATCCCCAGAAATTTGTGGACTAGAAATTCTCTTCTGTAGAGCGTAACTCTGGAAAACGGAAAACAGTGCTGGTTCTCTCCTGATCTTCTATATGATGCTCGATTATGTTCCTTCAAAGGAATAAAATACAGAGTGGCGCATCGAAAACGGAACAGACACATTCACTGGCAGCGAGGATTTTTTTTGGGAAAACGCTTAGACCCGTCGATTTTGTTTTCGAGCCGGACACAAGTTTGGTAAAAAAATCACGTTAACACGTGCAGCCCCTGGGCGGGGGTGACACCAAACCTAAAATCTTAAATGGAAGGAGGGGTCGAGTGATACCTTATTTCAAAGGATTTTCAATTCCCTTCATAATGATGTAAAATACATGAGCTTCAGTTCAGTAGTTTTGAAGATTTATTGATTTAAAGTTTAAAGTAGAACTTTAAGAGGTACATCAGATTATTTTGTACAACTTTCAGGAGAAATTTGACTAAAAGAATTTACTTAACAAGGAAATGCTTTTCTTCACTACGCCCATGGTTTGTTTATCAGTTTGTTGTTGAAAATAGCTGTTGGAGCGTTTTTTGTAGCAAAAAAGTTATTTCTTGGAGAAAGATAAGGAAATATCTCGTACTTATTTTAAATAGTAATTTAGTACATAGTTTGCGATTGATTTGACCAAACTTTGTTACTAAAATAACTTGTAACGCTTTATTACATAAATTAACCATAGTATATTCTACAGCAGAAAGAGTTGAAATTATCGAAACATTTTTCCCTTATAATTAGTGCGCTAATAGAACAGCAGAAATATTTAATGAGCGACATGAGAACAGTAACGTGCATCGAAAGTATGTTCTAGAACTTGTACCTAAATTTCGGGAAACTGGGTCAGTCGCCAATAAAAAACGCAACATTGAAAATCCCATAAGGATGGAAGCAATAGAAGTGGGGGTTTTAGGGCAAGTTTATGTAGATCCTACGTTAAGTACCCGCAAATTGGAGACTGTGTGTGGTGTTATTCGACGTACTATCCAACGGATTCTAAAGGCCCATAGTTTTCATCCATATAAAATTCGCCTGGTACAAGGACTTAATGAAGACGATTTTGATCGGCGATTAAAATTTTGTGAAGATATGAGTGAAGGAATTATAAACGATGAACATTTTCTATTCAACACTTGCTTTTCCGACGAATGTTCCTTTTTCTTAAAGGGCGTAGTAAATCGTCATAACTGCCGATACTGGTCCGATTCTAATCTCAGAATTTATCATGAGGTTCATACACAGCAGCCACAAAAATTAAACGTTTGGGCTTTTTGGCGCTCATTTAGTTGGTCCTTTTTTCTTATCTGGAAATTTGACCGATGAAATGTATTTGGAATTACTGGAAGACGCCATAGATCCTGCATTAACAGCCATAATTGAAAATCAGAAGGATCGGTGGTACATTGCGAATAGGTTGGTGTTCCAACCACGTTACGCATTACGTGTTCGACAATATTTAGATCAGAGGTTTCCAGATCGATGGATTGGTAGAAGTGGTGCCATTGAATGGCCCCCAAGATCGCCAGATTTATCACCTTTGGTTTTCTTTATGTGGGGTCATTTAAAAAGCAAAATCTATGCTACTCAGCCAAAATCATTAGAAGGCCTGCGACAAAGAATTGTGAATGAGTGCCTCCAAATTACTCCTCAAACATTGCAAAACGTGCGGCAACGTTTTGAGCAAAATCTTTATTATGGTATAGAGAGTCATGGTGGCCATTTTCAACATTTACTTGCCTAACGGGTCAGTTCATTCTTCATTTTTAAATTAATTTGCTGCCAAATCTATTGATCTCCACTAATGATGATGTATTAGTTTTATTTAAGCTTTAAATCTATAAATCTTCATAACTACTGAACTAAAGTACATTAATTTTATATCATTATAAAGGGAACTGAAAGACCTTCAAAATAATATATCACTCGACCCCCCTTTCCATTTAAGATTTTGGGAGTGGTGTCACCCCCGCTTAGGCCAAACTTGTGTCCTCCTCGAAAAAAAAATCGACGGGTCTGAGCGTTTTTCAAATAAAAAACTGAGCTGCCAGTAAATGCGTCTGTTTCGTTTTCGATGCGCCCCCCTGTATATTAGTTTAAACAGAAACCAGTACGGATATCTTTTCTGACGACTGCGATAACGTGGGACATGTTGATCTAATAAATAATAAACCTTATCGTAAAAATCTCAACCATATTATCAATTTACATATTGGTATCCATCCATCATCACAATTGAGGAGTTCAGAACTGTAATATTAACCACCGGTAAAATTATCGGAATTGAGAGACAAATCTGTTTTGGTCTTTTTCGATGCCGGATGATGTTGATCCTCATCTACCATGGGGACATCATCTGGCATAACCTGCAGTACTCAATCACAAATAACTAAATCAAGTAGGCTATCTGATGAATTAAACGTGCATGTTTTAGGATCATTAGCCGTTTGTCAACAAAATTAGTTATACATATTAAAATCCCCCACCAAAGTTACGTTTACTTAATTGATCAACAGCTGCTCAAAGTTTTCAAAGTATATTTTGGCATACGGAAGGATAACGAAGAAAAATGTTATTTATTGACTATACATGATATATACATAGAAGATACATGGGTATAACATTGTTACAGATACCTGCGTAAGCTATCCTTGGACGGCAACAACATATCCACGATAAAGCCTTTCGCCTTTAGGGGTCTGCCCAGACTCCGCGAGTTGTCCATTCAACACACTCCTCTGCAAACTGTTGCACAGTTCGCTTTTGCCGGCTTACAAAACATCACAATCATCAATCTGAGCAACAATCGCATCAGAAGAGTTGAAGGGTATGTTGACAGACACTAATCTAAGAACCCAGACATAACTTATTTTATGAAAGACAAAACGTGAGGCAGTAAATAGTGTTTATGTGCACTTTGATCGCCTGCAATCTTGCTATGTTGGGGAGATGGCCGATTCACCGGTACCAGGAGAAAGATGAGTGAAAATCGAGTTACTCAAAACATTATTACGAAGCGATGTCCAGCACTGCCAGACACTTGCCGTCAGCCACGACTTCTGCCATACGTTTTCTACAAAAAACTTTAAATAAGAACTTTTTTCTAATCCATCATACCAACAAGTTAAAGAGAGGTCAATTTATAGCGGACAGTGTGTTTGTCGAAAAATGTCTGGCAGTACTGAATATTAATTTATAAGAATATTTTTATTTATGTATATTATTTATATTTCATTATTTTTAAGTATATATATGAAAATCAGCTATTAGAATTTAAATAAGTTAGTCTTATTTTTTAATAATCTTTCTCACCTGATACTTGTGAAATACCCAACTTAACTAAAATTCAATATTATCAATTTTATGTCAAAAAATGCATTTTTTGTGCATTGTGTTGTACACTCCTCTTCCTTCGCTCGCAGCTAGTTAACAAATATCAGTACAGCTCTAAAATTGTATTTAGGAATTCCACTTTTATAGTATAATCGAGCGGGTGATTACTTTTACTATTATCACTTTTTTTCGACGAAAAATCTTTGATTTCCTTGAAATGTCAATTTGCTGCAAAATCAAGAAAAGCAAAGATTATTTAAATAAAGAAAGTGATAATTTGCTCAATTCTTCCATAAAAGTGGGACATACATACAATTTTAGAGCTGTACTATTGCTTGGTAACAAGTTATGATTGAAGGAAAAATACATAGAAAATCCACAAAAAATTCATTTTTTGACAAAAAGAAAATGATGATATTTATTTTCATTCATATGTATACACACCATGAAACAATCAGACGAAAACAATTAAGAGTACTCCTCCAAGTAGGCTGTTGAAAAAACGGGCACGTGACATTAAGAGGTATGCAGGCGTTTCACGGGCATTTAAAGGCAATTAAGCGCCCTCCGTTTTGTCTTTCAGCAAATAACTAACGAGTGGCGGTCCTGGGATCTTGGTTTACTAGAATTACTACTTTTTGCAGGTACGCTTTTGCTGGTACCACTAACTTACGTTTTCTGCTGCTTGCCAACAATCCTCTACACATACTTGAAAGCAGATCGTTTAGTGGTCTGACAAACGTAGAGAAGATAACATTTCCTTCAGGTGAGTATATAATCTCATGCATTGATCAAATCATAACTTCTAGTCAGGACATGATAATTCAGAGTAAAGATAGTCTAAAATTACTGAATATGTACATTGAAGTCAAGCACTATTTCCAAAATTTGGGGAGACCCGCACAATGAAGCTTATGTAAATGCTTCAGTACTTACATCTCTGGTCGTTATTAAATACATTTCTTCAACAACAACTTGCAAGACAGTGAGACTCTAATTTTTTGTGTTTATCCCCAAGATGTCTATAAAATAAATCCTTATCTATTCTGCTGTGCTGAGCATAAAGGGGGTATCTGCAATTTTCATCATATCGAGTGAATCAGTGTCATTTTGCCTACTCATTGACAAGGTTTTTTTAGCAATACCATACAATAGTTTTTTCGAATCCTTCATCTTTGTCTGTTTTTGTTTGTACAAATGAATCAAACTTTGAACGCCTTTTTTCCGATGTGATGTTATATACGAAAACACCCCTGCGCTTACAGTGGTTTCACCTTACTTCAATTAATGGTGAATGTGTCAAATATACTGAATAAAACGGATCGGCTCTGTATTTTTCCGGATAGTTTATTTTTGAAAAAGGTCAATGCCAGGTCTTTACTCACTGTGATCAAGTAGTTTAAAGTTGACCTTAGATTTAACCTTGAGTCTTACTTTCAAGGTTACGTCAAGCGCAACTTTTTTTATGGAAAGCCTTCTTTTTAATAGCAGCAATCAAAGGAATGGATAATTTTTCTTACGAATACGTATTAAAAGTCTAAGACCAAGGTCACTTTCAAACGGTAAATGAACGTTAAAGAGGCCAGGGAAAATCCCTAGAAGTTTAGCGGAATAATTGATCAAAAACATCAAGGTCAAAGGGAAGGTTTCAGGATTAAATAAGTTGAGTTTGAAGTTACTTTGAAGACTAGGCTCAAGATCATGATTGGGATCTTTCTTATAAGGAACTAAGCAAGAATATTTTTCATCAATATCTATCTGCTCAACTCCTAAGAATTTTTCCTGGCCCAACATATTTGACTTTCATTTGACCTTTACAGGTATCTTCGATCTTAGACTTTGATACACTTTTGAACGTACAACAGTTCGTTATTTCGATCGACGGTGTCAAATGTGGACCTTCCAATTGAAAAGCAAAAGTTGCACTTGAAGTAACCTTTCTGAAAAATACCTTACCTGGAAAAATACAGAGACATTTCATTGCCTTTGTTACACTAGTCAGTTTCAGTTTCGGTGCGTTGAACTGGCCATGGTGATGAAAAAAGGTTAAAATACATTTGAGGCGTGGAATACCCCTCAGAAGATAACAGACGCTTAATATAATAAGGGACCTAAATACCGCCTTATGCAGATGAAGGATGTAAAAGTGATTTCAAAACCTAGAAAACGTCTGGCTCTCTTGTTCCTCAGGGATCTCCTCCAGGATGTCATCACGCAATGAGCCTGCCAGACAGACCCGCCTGCCTTTGGCCATCCTAACCATATCAAGCTTCCTTTTTCCAGAACTGGGGTGTCGAAATTGTGGAACAATCAGCCTGAGCCTTTTTCCCACTTCTGCCAGCCTTAATCAGTTCAAAAATTGTATTAACAAGATGTCTTCGAGCCCTTTATAATAGCCGCGGTACCCTGTATTAAGGCTTTTATTTAACTACCTCGGTAGTGTATAGGCATGTTGTACCTACAGGCCATACGAGCAGGAAAGTCATACACGCAAAATTTTCATGGCACACCAGTGGAAATGCCAACATCATTAGATAATCCTTGACCTCATTCCATGGGTCCAATCAATCAGTTAGATATCAAAACATTGCTGAACATTTCCATCTCAGCCATGTCATCCCTTTACGGACAACCGTGAGGATTCAAAATTAGTTTGTTCCGGAAAATATAAGAAATTCGTGGTGAAATTGGTTCTGTGTCTATATATACAGGGTGACTTCGAAGTTGAGTCATTTATTTTAACAGTGAGTAGATCTGATCAAAAGAAATGTTTTTTTCCTTTACCATTTTTCTGGTAAAATTAAAGTAACAAAGTTATAGCCCTTTGGAAGTTTGAGTACCGCCCTGTCTCAATAATAATATGTTCGTGTTGGCGACAACGGATATAATCCGCCTGACCGGTTCAACGCATCGGAAACAAAAAAGCGAAAGAATTTGAAACGTTTATCACGATGTTTTTCGTCAGTCGATAACGCGTTAGTGAATAGTAATGTTTGTTGCGTGGCTCAAACGAAATAAAAAATGGCACATATTTATGCGGATCGGTTTCCCAATCGAGTGCAACCAACCCCTCGTGCCTTTGTTAATGTAGTACAACGGGCTCGTGAATCAGGTGACTTAAAACAGAGGACTGCATGCCGGTGCTCCAAGACCTCACGATCAAATACAGGTCCGCACTGAAATACTTGTCGGGACGATACTTTATTAAACAAGGTAACATTTTTTTTATTTATTTTTTTATTTTTACACACATATTTTGGTTTATCTTCCTTCTACAATCATTATCTGAAAATTAATGACTCAACTTCAAAGTCACCCTGTATAATTATTGGAACACAACTCAATACCATATATTTTCAGCAACACCAACGTAGTTATGAATTCTCGCCGCCCTGAGGTTCAGGAATGGGGTTTTAAAAAAGCTCCCATTTGTGGATAAACAATTGAGTATATTCCACACAAAAAAACAAGCTAACCTACAAGACAAAATACAAACAAATGGGCTTCAATGCAGTAATCTGGACGCGAATTTAAATACCTGAATATTTAGTTATCTCAATATCCAACAAAACAATGTGGAATCAGAAGATTTTAGCCTGGTACAAAGAATAATTACCTCAACGACAATGAACATCAAATACACAAATGAAAATATAGAAAATCATACCAATCAGAACTTTATAGCTATTAACAACTTGCACCTGTGAAGGTTCTATTGTTCCCAACGATTTCCCGATTCAGACACTAATACTTATACACTCCAAATTTTCTAACTCAGCCCTGTTACAAAAATGTTGTTTGTTGTTTGGTTTACTTGATCTATCTTCTACACTAGGCTATCGCCTATGATTTTTAAATCTAATTGTAAGGGTACGGGTTTATTTCCTGAGCGAGGATTCGATTTCTCTTCGCTGCTTAATGAAGCAAAATCTGTTTCTCTGTACACAAGGCGTATTTTTTGACAACAGCCTTATACATGGTGTTAATAAAGTATGTAGACAAACTTTAATAATCGAATCCTTGGTCATATGGACATGGCTTTCTCTTCGAGCTAAAGAAATACGAGTAATGTTAAAAATATTTCTATGAATAATGAAACGTATTTATTGAACAGTTGGTATAACCTATGATAAATTTTGCATGTTTTATAAGTAGCTGAGGCTCAATATGAACGTGGAGGAGAATAGTACTATCCTGTATTGTGCTGGTCGAGCGTTACCCAGAGCCATTCCGTAAACGAAATGCATATCTGACATTTCTTGATTACTGAACTGGATCATTATGACAGTTAGTAATCACCAAAACTTTGGAGTCTCAGAATGCCCAGACAAGAACACAAATATTTGACAGCTGTCGAATTATTTATGAAAATAAATTAATTCAATTGTTTTAGGGTACGTCATAGGTGTCGAAATAAGCACAATGCTTAGTATTAAAAACATCGCGATCAAAACAAGTCAATGTCATGCTATTTTTTCAAAAAATACTGGATAGCATTGTCCGTATCTACATACATGGAGGGTCTGAAAACAACTGTAAATCATGTGATATTCATCACAGGATATACTTAATTAAAATAAAATACGTTCCATTCTTTGATATTTTTTAAGAACAATATCATCATTTCTTTTAGTGCTAATATGCTATAGCTTGAAAACAAAGCCGTTGCAGATCCATGTTGATATGGAAATTTCGTCTTCAAATTGACCAATGATTCGATGCTTAAAGTTTGTCTACATACTTTATCAACACCCTGTATATTCATTGGAATATAATATGTGAATTTTTATTAGGTCTACTGTTTCCCAGCGTAACAAGATAAATTCGAGAGTGTTTTATTGTCAATGTGCTAGAACCAATATTCTGGCTAAATCACCTGTTTCAATCATTTGTAACAATTTTTACTTAATAACATCTGTGACATCAATATTGCTCCTCTCTCGCTTGTTTACAAATCAATCTTGCAGATCAAGTTTAATATGTAGATAACTTCTTTTTCATTACTTGTTCGATTAGTTTTAAGCATTTCCTGTTATTTGGTGCGTACGTACATGTTGGGAATTGCCTATTTATCTAAATCGCCTTCTGTGATGGAGCGCCTTTCACAGGTAACATCGTCGTTCTCTATTACAGGCATCCGATCCATCGAGCGTTCAGCCTTCGAAGGCCTGGACACTATAGGCCACATAAAACTGGCCTTCATGGACTTGCCGGGCATGCGGCCTGGCATGTTTCGCGGCCTTACGAACGTGGGTCTTCTAGCCGTCCAAGAGTCTGATCTAGGTATTATAGATGGCGCTGCGTTCGACGAAATGACGAACGTAGCTGTTCTCCATGTGCTCAACAACAAGATCGATGCCATAGAATACCTTAATCTCACCAGCGAGCAACATATCGGAAGGCTGGAGGTCAGAGGCAACCACATACTGGAGATACCTAAAGCAGAGACGCTTATCGTCGAGGTGAGTATATGCAGTATTTTAGCATGAATGTAACACCTGAAACATATGCTTGAAATACTGTTTACTGACGGCGTTGCGGCTGCCAGGGTGGCTGTACCTTAAAAAGTCCACCGTGGTGGCCGAAACGTCGCCAGAAGCAGTATTTTAAGCATATAATAATAATTATAATAATGATAACAAGCGTCTTTATTTATCTACAATTACATTGTAGTAAAGGCAAATGTGAGACTAATATGCTGAAGTTTAGCATGCTGCTACTGTTTCACTTCAATTCACTTCAATTCAATTCAATGGACTTTATTGTAACAAATTCATAATTATGCATCCTTACAAATGGCGAAGTCTGGCCAATGGCCATTTATACTTAACCATAAATGTCATGTCAATGCTTATTACTACCTTAGAAATAAAATAAAAAACTGAAAAAGAAAAGGAAAAAGAAGAATAAAAGTAAAAGAAGAATTAATAAATATGACATAATGCGTACGATTAGAACAAAAAATATAATACGTACGATTCAAAGAGAAGACAATAACCTAAAAGCTCAATAAGTAGTTCTTATATTTTTTTTTAGAAAAGTTGCTGATGAAACATTGTTCGAAAGAGTTGATCAATTTCACCGCATTATACGTAAAAGACCGTTGAAAAATGGCTGTCCTATGTTGTGGCATTGTCTGGAGATTAATGTTGCGCGTATTCAAATTGTGAATTAGATTCCTACGAACAAGCTTTTGCATAAGATAAACCGGAACAGAAGTTTTTAATATTTTTACGACAAATTTAACAAAGTTGTATTTGAAAAGATCAGAAATTTTCAACCAATTCATTGAAGATATTGAGTGAGAAACATGATCGTACCTTCTTAAATTGTTTATGTAACGACTACATGAGTTTTGAATTTTTTGCAGTCTGTATTTTGTGATTTCATCCAGACAGGGATAATAAACTATGTTGCAGTAAACGATTTTACTGAGTATGTGTGACTCGCATAACATTTTCTTAATTTTTCTATTTAAAACAGTTTTACTTGCATATTGAAGCCTGAGTCTAAAATAACTAGACTTACACACATAGCCAACATGCTCATGAAATCTGAAATCTTCATCCAAGTACAAACCTAAATTTTTTGCAGAATGGGAAAATATTAAGATACTATTATTTAGTGATAAATTTAACTTTGATTTGAGGAAAGTACATTTTTTCTTGGACTTCACTTAACCATATAGCTGATGTTCACTACAATAACCCATTTACAAACAGATTTTGTTAGTTACATTGGAAGTGAACGCTAAAAAAGAAAAAGGGATACTTTCCAAACTTAAGTACACCAAAAATTACGAACCTGAATATTTTAAGGGATTAAAAGGAAATCAATGATGTAAATTATATGTTCCTGGGGTTAATTAACTAAGTAACCCTGTGTCGAAAGACATGTAACGAACATCATATGGAAGGTCATTATAAACAATAGCAACGTTGTAGGAAAAACTGCGTTCAAAAAAGGTAGACATATTATAGGGTATTTTAATACTCTTTTCTCGAGGGTTCCGCAGTGAACATCATTATTAAATCAGTTTTTCCCTCGAGTAAGAGGGTTTTGCCCTAAGTCGTTAATTTTTAACCAATTTAGGACGGGATGATTCCCTGATATATGAAAGAATTTACGTAAGCCAAAAATAAAACGTGCAGCTTGAAATTTACTAGATACCTTTGCTATAAGTGTACGTAGCCATAGGTAGGTTTCATGCGACATACTGTCCAGCTTATCATACTAATAAAACTTAAACTTGTATCACATAAATAACACTAAGAATGTTTACAGAATCATAAAGCTGCAAGATTTTGTAGGAATGTTCAAGAGCTGTGTAACATTGTCTTTTTTCCTTTGGGCGCAAAATAATGTCCTTTTTCCTTTGGCCGCAAAATAATAACACCTTAGATTGTTGTGGACTAGTGAATAGATTATAATAGAGATAAGAGTACTTATTTATTTTACCAACAAGGTTTCAAAAAATGTGTGTAGTATTATTGACATTATCTGTTATACAATTTCCGGCTCTCTGGATTGACGGCATCAAATATGCGTTTTATTTGGAAAACTAGAGTTTATCTTGACGTGATCTTGAAGGTGAGGCTGAAGGTCGAATGCAAGATCACTGCTACTTGTGAAAACTTACTAAAGACCTGACCTCACTAGTTATTTTAGTCACGATCTCTTCGAGATTTCTAGAGCTGCACATATTTGATCTGTATTTAACCTATTTTACCTCTAGCGGTCATCCTCACCTTGAAGCTTAATACATATCCGAATGTAAAATTTCTCGCTCTTCCGATTGCCTGCATCAAAAAAGTTGACATTGGGTAAGTTTTAATGAGATAACCACGGTGCTAGTTACAAATCATTTTGAACCAATCCGGTTGCTGCGAGTCCTGAATAAAAAAAATACATTGAAATGACCTTGAAGGTGAGGTTTGAGGTTAAATCACAGATCACTCGTCAAAATTTACTAAGGAACTGACCTTGATAGTTATTTTCATCACTTATACTCTAAGATTCATAGAGGTCATCTTAGTCTTCAATTCGTATTTGAATGTAAAATTTTCCGCTCTTTCCACCGCCGGCACCAAAGATAGGGATTTTCTTTAAAAAATTAAGTTGACCTTGAAATGACCCTGAAGTCAAGGATCAAGGTCAAATCTAAGATCGCAGTTCACTCCCTCGTTGACATTTACGAAAGACCTGACCCTGATAGTTGCTTTTATTACTAATCCTGCAACTTATAGAGGTTTTCCTAGTAGCACACATTTAACCTTTACATGGCACCTTGACCTTGTCTTCGATTCGTATTTGAACATAAAATTTTCTGCCCTTTCGGCTGCCGTCATCAAAAATAGGGATTTTCATTGAAAGAAATAAGGCTGACTGTGAAATAACTTTGAAGATCAAGGTCAAAGTCAAATCTAAGGTCAGAGTTCGCTCCCTCGTTGAAATTTATCAATGACTTGACCTTGATAGTTATTTTCATCACTCATCCTGACAGATTTATAGAGGTTTTCCTAGCAGTACACATTTCTTCATTATTATCGACTGTCGATCTTGCAAAATAACTGAAAATGTTTGTTGTTATACAGGGTGTAACTAAAAGGTGCATTTTGCCCTAAATTTCTGAACACCTGTAGAAACATTGGATTACTGAATAATGTGTCTTCGTATGAGAATTTTAAGCCTCAACTTTTATCAGCAGTTCTTTTTTGATTCATGTCAATATCTCAATTATTGAAGAATATATGCTATTTTGAAGAAAATCATGCGAATCATAGCCATAAACAAGAAATTGATCCAAGCAAGCTTTGCCGGGTGAGAAATTGTTTCAAGTATGCTGTGTCTGTTAGCATTTTTATGGCATGTTAAAAAGATCATTGTAAAGCAGTACTCAACAAAAATTACACCGGTACAAGTAGCGCAAGCTGTAGCTTTACAAGATGATGGTCATCGTATTCGGTATATCGCAGAAAGACTTGCCGTTCCACGCAGTAAGGTATTCGATGCGATACAAATATTTGAAGAAACTGGTTCTTAATCAAGAAGACCTGGTCAGGGAAGATGGAAAGCAACAAACGCAGATAAAGATCGGTTTCTGAGACTTCAAGCTCTTCGAGAAAGGACACTTCCTGCTGTAGCTTTGACTCGAAGATTGGATGATGTTCATGGTACCATAGTTTCACCTGACATCCTACGCCGTAAGTTGAGAGAAGGAAACATATCATCTTGTGTACCTGCTACAGGTCGTCTATTGGATGTAGGTCATCGAAGGCAGCGTTTGTTTGGTATTTTCTCGTTCTCATGCAGATTGGGATATGGAAAAACGTTCTTTTTACAGACGAGTCTCGTTTGACGCGATATTCACCTGATGGTCGCCAAAGAGTGTGGAGAACGCTGTGCTCAAAGTTATTTCACTCCAATTTGGTGGTGGAGGAATGCTGGTATGGGGCGGCATTTCTTTGGAATCCCGCACAGATGTTGTTTCGTTACGAGGAGGACACCTTACTACCAACAGATACGTTAGAGAGTGTTTGGAAGAACATGTGGTTCCTCATATGCCCTTTATAAGAGAAAATTTTCTCCTAATGCAACATAGTGCTCGGCCGCATACAGCCAGAATGACTAGGCAATACCTCAACGATGTTGGAATTCAAGTACTGGACTGGCCGTCAAGGAGTCTGGATCTCAACCCCATCGAACACATGTGGGTTACATTAGGAAGAAGGGTTAGGCAGAACTGTGGAGAATTTCAAACTGTGGCTGCGTTGGAACAGGCGTTGGTAAACGAGTGTGAGCAAATACCCCAAAACACAATAGCTGCTTTAATTGAGTCTATGCCAGAGAGGATGAGAGCTGTTATTCAAGCCCCGGGAGGTAATACTCGTTTTTGATAACAATATCTAATTACCAATGATGTCACTCTAATTTTTTGAGTTAAATTGTTTATGGTTATGATTCGCATAGTTTTTTTACCAATGTTAACTTTTAACATTAAATTGTTTATGGCTATGATTCTTCAATGATTGAGGTATTGACGTGAATCAAAACAAGAAAGTTGAGGCTTAAAATTCTCATACAAAGACACATTATTCAGTAATCCAATGTTTCCACAGGATGTTCATTAATTTAGGGCAAAATGCACCTTTTAATTACACCCTGTAAACTAAGAAACATTTTCCATTTTTTTGCAACTTGACGAAAGAATTAACGAAATTGATGCCGGTTAAAAAGTTATTTCAAATTTAATTTGAACAGACTTTGTTTGTCCGATTAATTTTTCGTGGCAGGGTAGAAATAAATACTTGTATGATTGTGCCAGACTACTGACTTAATTTACATAACACCGTTATTTTTCAGGTGGAGACACTAACTGTGATATCCAACCATTTCCCCTGCAACTGCCACATCCACTCGCTTCTAGAAGGCCCATTGGCCAATGGTAGTAGAACCCACTTCATCACCAACAACTTTTGCATCTCACCACTAGAGGTTAATGGTCTGCCCATGACCAGTTTGGACATTGACGCCATTGGAAGGTGTGAAGAGGAAGTGACGAAAGAGAATCTAGAAGCTACCAAAGACGCCAGTGACAGTTTTTCAATTAGAAGGGAAGCTAGGTTCATGTTAGTGTTTGTGTTAGTGATAGTGACGGTTGTACAAAGGTGAAGGTGGTGATAAGTTGAGTGATGATCGCCAGTTTCAGAAGACATGCTTTTGAGGTAATAATAAATGAAATAAAGGTGATACGGTATGTATGTCAATTAAGAGGAATACTTGATACACAGCCACCAAATATATACTCAGTGACATAGTCAAATCATATTAGCAAATTTCCCCTAAATAATTATAAAGTCTGGTTTTATTGGTGCAAGTTGTTCAAGGGGGTATTTAAAAGATGGACGCGTAAAATGGGTACACCAATTTTTGTGGGGAAACTGTTTATTTGACAACAAATAACGAGAAAACGTGTATTTTCGGATTCAATCGGAAGTGTCGACAGGAACGATTAAACCTTGCATATACATTTTTAGGTATTTGTGAGACCGACAAAATGAGACCACAAGTAAAAAAATCCGACTAAGAACAAAAGTGTTTTATGGCCTAAAAACGAGGCAAAATGCAGGTTTTGGAACTTGTTGGTAATGCGATGATAATGTAACGCAATACTTGAAATTCTTCAAATCCGTACGTTTTATACTTCTTAATAACAACCACAAATTTGGATTATATTGGTAAAGTAGTTTTTTGAGAATTTCTAATTGTTTATCCCAAAACACCTGTTTTCCGGTCAACACTACTAGTTTATTGAGCAATATACAGGGTTTGTTCAAAGATCATTTAATATCAAAATACACATGTTTACCTTGCCGATATGAATCACAAATCGTTCCAAAAGATAAATGTTATTTTTATGCGAGAAATACAGATTACGTTTTTTTTAAACAAATCCATGCATTTCGTATGTGTGAGTAATTGAACAAATACGCTTTGATATTCGAAAAACATATATTACCAGACACATTTTAAAGCAAGGCGGATGTGTCTATCATCTTTTATTGCGAATTACTCATAAATACGAAATGTTTGAACTTGTTTAGAAGAAAAAACGTATCCCATCCTTTTTTGTATAAAAATATCATTTTCCGGAATGGTTTGCGATTTATATCGGCAAGATAAACTAGCGTATTTTGCTATAAAATGCCTTCTATATTGCTCAATAAGCTAGTAGGGATGGCCGGAAAACAGATGTTTTTTGATAAATAATTAGAAATTCTCAAAAACTACTTGACCAATCTACTCCAATTTTGTTGTGGTTATTTGGAAATACAAATCCTACGATTTTAAAGACTTTCAAATATCTGCGATAAACCATCTTGGTATTACCAATAAGTGGCAAAGCCTTCAGTTTGCCGCGGTTTTCGGCCATAACTTTACACAATCTTATTGTAGAGTTTTTTCGTTCCTGCCAATACTTCCTATTGAATCCCAAAAAACACGTATCCTCATTCTTTGTTGTCGACTAAAAACTTTTCTCACAAATATTGGTGTACCCATTTTATACGTCCCTTGAACAACTTGATGCAATAAAACCAGATTTTACGATTATTTCGAAACCAGAGGTATTTTCGTCTAATATGACTAACAAATAAAATAGAATACCCAGTAAAATTTTAACAAAATTTTGTATACAGTTAGAGATAGCACGAAGTCATAAATTTTGAAGTAACAACATTTACGGTGGCCTTGCTGCCGCAGGCATCCGTCTAGACGTTCAGGCATACATCTGATCATATACTTGATCTCTTCTTAAGGTATCTCATTCCAAGCTAGCTGTACCTGATTCCGAAGAGCTGCTAACGCCAGTGGGCAGTGACCAATTAGGTAGAGGTTGCTTTTTCCCATGTTCAACTGTTGAATGGTTTGGAGATCTAGGCAGCCGAGAAGGAGGTTAATTTCCGGTCTACTGTAGTTCTACAAATATTTTTAAGGCCATTATTTTATTAGAAAAGAGGAGTATCAGGCGTTTGGGCAAATTGTAAAAGATGAGATTCTATTATTCCCTGGATATACAACTACACATCGATTCCTTTTCCATACTAGGGTGGCCATAAATACACAACTTACATTTACCCTTGCCATGGTATTTTAAACCTTAAAATCCGGTTGTACCAACATGAAAATACTGTTTATAAAAGTAGGTACTCAAACGTTTCTCAGTATTTTTGTTATATATATTGTTTTAGATCAACCTCATTTTAAAGAAATAAAATAAAACAATTCATAATACGGGCAAACAAAATATATTGAAAAATATTTTAAACTTTAATACGTATGCTAATTTATAATGGAAACAATTAACTTAAAAAATCCATCCTGGATTTTGACAATATGTCTTTTTTTAAAAGGTAACTTTCGTAAACCAGTACCCTCCTTAGAGTGGCGATACAGAACACTTAAAAATTTTACCTAAAACAACAACAAATTTGGAAAACTTCTTTTTTCTGTACTATGAACATATATGGTTCGGCACCTCACAAGCCTAAGAAGAGGTAGCAAGATGCAGGTGAAACCTGTATCCCCTAGTCCAGACATTCTTGATTTTAAGATAACATTTATTTCAGCTGCAGCAAGGCGCAGCCAAAAGTTTATAACTCGAAATGAATTAGTTTTGTAGGAAAAAATCTAGCAAAAACGACTTTCAATAAAAAATTTATATAAAACTCCAAAACGCATGTTTTTACATAAAACAGATAAATAATAAGAGTAGATACCATATTCTTGCACCTTCATATTATCACTACGTGAAAACAATAGGCTTGAAATTATAATCCACAAAGAAATTACTTACACGTCCCGGAAAATTAGGCTCGAGAAGCTGTCACTTGCGATGCACGAAAGTAAATGAGAGTTTGAACTAATTGCATACTCGATAACTCAGCGACTCATTAAGACCATTAAAACTCATGAGTTTTTGGGACTGTTGACATATGAAGGAATCACTGTGCGCTGCGCCAACACACTGCCTCTAAATTGAGGTCTTTAAGCACATGTGTAGTCGAACCTCAAACCATGACACCCACAATATGGTGCAAGAGACGTTCAACTGTAAGCTTTACAGTACGACTTTGTCGGGGACAGCTCCTGATTAATGCCCATCCATCATGCATCCTCAAAGCAGAATTGGTACCCAAGAAAACTTAAACGATTACTGGTTTTTCCAAATGGTATTAGCTCTTGTTACAAGTACACCATGGACAGTCATGAATCAGAAGACGTCGTGGAGTAAGATGTAATCTAAGGCTTGCATCCATCATACTGCAGCATTTACAGTTTACAGCGCCACTAAATATGGTTCTAGGTCTCTTCTAGTTTCGACTAGAGGAGGTATGACGTCGCAGCGGCATATCCAGGAAATACTGGAACATTTTTTGCCATCTATCTATCCAAACATTTTGCTCGTCCTAATATTGCTAGAGTTACAATGGATTATCTCAATCAAGCTCAAGTCAGCCTCCTTCCAGGCAATAAATATGCCACGTGCAATTTGTCATGTGGACAGCATTCTATATTTAACCGCGAGGTACACGTCTTAAATCAGTTCTCATAGGCAGCCGAAGTATTATAAATTTAATCATGGTGGGTGGTGCTTTCTTGGTTACATTTCAAAAAATCAAAAAGTATAGAGCTTACCCACTACTCCGGGCGTGAGAGTAGCACCCCAGAGCAGGCTTTATCCAGAGTCTGTATAGAATAACGAGGTTTAATTGTAAGAATCACCATCTAGCTTTAAACTTTAAACCAATAATTTCAGCTAAGCAACTTCCGTGCTTTTGTTGCACCAGGTACACTCAAAGCTTGAGTGGAACGGGAGCAGACGTCGAGGATTTGTTCTGCTTAAAGCGGATTTTCTAACCTATAATGTCTGTTGGAAATGTCTATAGTTTGACCAGGAGGTCAAGAACTTGCTAAACAGTAGTAAGGAACTACATTTCACTGAATTGTTTGACTGCCTTTTAGGCCCGATTTTACTATTGATCCGCGGAATCAAAATTCTTGATCCGGATCAAATGTCAAATGCAAAAATAAGTTTTTGTAGCTAAACCTGGTGATTTATAAAGAATTTCTTGATTTAGTATGTGGATTCGGTCCTTCTTACACAATTCGTATATTTTTTTGCTAGTTTGGGAGATATTTTAGAAAAAATCGACTATATTCAATAGATCCATGTCTAGAAAGATGCCTTATCATAGGTCCATTTTGATCCGGATCAAGAATTTTGATCTTATGGTAGCAAAATTGGCCCTTAGGCATGCGAACATTTCTGGATAGGTTTGAACTGATGAGGATGATCTATAGGAAGAACCAGATGATAGATATTGGGATAAATCAGCAACATTCGTCGCCAACATTTAGGCATTTATTTACGTATTCTTCAGGACTACAGAAAATGTAAGGAAACACATTTAAACTTTGCAAACCATACATTGGCAGAATGGAAAGGAAAAGGCGCTTCTAAAAATCAATAGAAATACAACAGGGCGTTCCATTTAAATGTTTGTATTGCCACTAATTAATGGGTCACCCTGTATAGCTAAAAATAATTTTAGGTTGTAGCCCTTAGCTCTGTTTAAATTTAACTTTCCTCTGCAACTCTAACAGTAACGAAGATATTGAGCTTTGACACATTATTTCGACACGCTGTATAATGCGATTAGCTGTCACAAGAGTTCAAGCTTTTAGGCCCGTATCGTCAGTCGTCCCTACAATTGTAGGGCGCCTTTATGGCCTCCTTGATTGTCATAGTTTTCTACTTCTCCGTGTCAGCGCTCTGTTTTGAGGTTATGTCACAAACATCAATTTGCATCAAATTGTGCTTGGTTTTGAGTTATATCACGTTTTATCAGCCTGAAGTTTTCTACAATTTAAAAGGAAAACAAATCTTCACATTAGCAGAGCGCTGACGCTGACACGGAACAAGTGTAGGTAATCTAGAAATTTTTGAAGGAGAGAAACGAGTATGACAATCAAGGAGGCCATAAACGCGCCCTACAATTGTAGGGTCGACTGACGATAGGGGCTTTAAACATGAACAAGTTCAAGTTAAAATTAAAACCTTATTGGTATTCGATTTATAAAATATTCAAATATTCACTTTTTCGAATTATTTTTTTTGTTCTTCCTTTATTAATCCTTATCAATAACTATAGTTGGATATCAAAAGTGGTTAGGTTCCTTTTACCATTAAATTTACGTTATATATTATGTATGGTAGAAAAAGTTAAAAGCATAATCACTACATGTATGTTTCTATGCGAACGCCTGCGTTGCTCAATTTTTTTTAAAAAACTTCATTTGCCATATATTTTTTCTATCCACTTTATGGAGTCTTCGGTTGGTTCAGTTCTAGTTCAGTTACGTACTCATATGCACTGCCATTCAGTGATTCTGGTTCTGGTTATTAATATGTTTCTTTTTAATATCAGATTTTAGAGAAAACAGTTCTAACAATCTGGGGTTTTAATATGTACGCACGTTGTTAATTATTAACACGCTTTTATTAGCTTGGCCTGTAGGTATGTATGTATATACGTAACGGAATCTTTGAGCATAATTTTCACCAATTTCCAGATATTTGATTAATTAGAAACTTCTCACACG